GCGTTCCAGAAAACTCTGCCTATTTCTTATACCTGTACCATCCATTTTCTTGTCACAGACCTGCATGGCTGCTGCGAAGGATTTGGCTGTAGACTGGCTGTTAGTGTCAGCAGCTGTCATGCAGCAAAAGCTACCTTTGACTTTTATTACAAGTCCTATGTGTTTCTGGAGATGGGCTGAGGGAGACAATTTAGGAGCTGTGGTGTGCTCTATGCTTGCACGTATAGAAATATATCTTATTATTCTGCACCACCAAGTGGCCAGATTGAGCAGATATTGCAAGACATCTTTGGATCCAGGCTTACTGCATTAACCCAGATGGGTTTGGTCATGTTATGGAAGTTCACACTGGCCCAAACTAGCAACTAGGAAAAAATCATTTGAATATAAAGCCCCATGTTTTGCAGGAAGGAAGTGTCACAAGTTTCTCCAACATCCCCTAAAGTGTTTCTGACAGTGTATTGTCAAAACTACTTCAGTTGTCACTTCAAACAGAGCTCTTTGGTGGGCTGTGCACCTGACACTCAGGCATATTTTAAGTTTTTCAAATAAGTAACTCAAAACTGGTGGGTGATTCTGTCAATATAAGGCAAATATTTCTGAGTATCAGTGAAGATCAGTGTCAGAAGTAGGAAGAGAATGGACGTGTCTTTGTTCTTTACCATTAGACTTTAATCCCACTATCTTTAAAAACTGTAAAACAAAAAAAGGTGGCATTTCATCCAGAAAAATGCATTACATGGTCTAAATGGGAGCTATTTTCACATTCTTTTGTACCTTACGTTCCTTGTGCTCAGGAGGGTTCAAAGTTGAACCCTTATGTAGTCACTCTGGAGGTACAAATCAGAGCGAGGTCTGCTGCTGGCCAACTTTACTTGTCCAAAATCTCCACATGATGTAACAGCTGATCCCAACTGATAACATTACATATCTCATTCAATATACAGTACTGATATTGCAACAAGGCAGGGAGTGGTTCCTCATTCTGTTTCTGGGAATGCCAGTTAATGTATCAGGAAATTTCTTCTTTCAAGGACTTCTGCCTTCTGCTCTTCCCAAATCCCTGTTGGAGAGAGGAATTAATCCCACCTATCACTACTTACTCACCATGCATCTTCTTTTTATCTATGGAGTTCCAGTGAACAGTGAAGCAATTCAGCTTCATTCTCAAGATATATATTATCCCCACAAACCTTTAAGAAAAATGCAGTCCTACAGTATGTTCTAGACTTTTGTATGCCTCATTCCACCTATAATTTTACGTATAAAATTGACTATAATTCACAGTGGATGGCTAGTTTAGTCAACACAGATTCCCCTGTTGATCTGTATTTAGTATTTTATCGGTCTTCAGATTGTACCAATGTTTTCAATGTGCTAGTAGAAAAAGTTACAGCTGGTTCTGTAGCTAATTCTAAAACTTTTTTTAAAATAGACACAGCATGTATTTAGTATAGTTTAAAGCCTAAGTCATACTGAGGTAACCCAAAAAAGAAGAGATTAATGTATACATACAAACAGAAATAGCAACAATAATCTGAATTGCGGAGTTATCTGTATGAGTGACTATTTCAGCTAAATTCTTTACCTGTTCCCTGGACAATTTAATTGGACATAAGGAGGGAAGCTTCAGAGTCAGACAGTTTGACACTCTCTCAGTTTGAGGAAAGCAAATTTCTCTCTTCTTCATTAGTACACTGCAGGAAATGGAAGCACTGCATTGTACAGTGTAAAGAATTATTGCAAATGAGTATATTTTAAAATAAATAAAGGCCCTCCAAGTAAAGAAGAAAACCTTCAGATAGCTGTAACACTGAAGGAAGGTTGGTCAGCTTTGCTGAAATGATGTTAGACATGAAACCATCAAAAAAGAAACAAAAACGAGTATGGTGTCTTATGATATGTGCATGCGATAGCCTTTCACTCTGATGAAGAAGGGAGAAAAAGATGTTAATGAGCTGGGTCACTGGCTGAGGATCTTAAGTAATTATTTCATAAATAGTATTTCCTTAAATAGTATTTCACTTAAATCTGATTTCAGAGTATCTCATGGGCTCATCAGTCTCTTACTGAAAGTCTTTGTTACCTGGATTTCTATGGGCCACATGGATAGGTGCTCACTGACAATTAGCAACCCAGCTCAGTGCTTTATGCCTTCAGGTATTTCAACAGGAGCCAGGCTTTTAACCTGCCTAAATATCTCAACCAGCCCTTTGGTTTCTGAGTGTTTAGGTCCCTAAATATTTTACAGTGCCCATCCCTGTGACCATATTTAGACAGTGTAATTTCACCTGTGTCCCTGCATCTGGAAGTTCATAGTTCCCTACTGCACGTGTCACTTTGGTTCTGTGAACTGAGCCTTGAAGGCCTTCAAAGAAAACTCTCTGACTTGGGCACATCTGGAGCTGGACACAGGCCATACACATAGAGCCTTAATGCTTCTGCTTCTTTTCAAAGTGGAATTTTTTAAGTCCCTAGGAAGCCCGGAGGTCACAGTAACAAGCATCGGTCCTGACCTGTGTGTGCTCCCTGATAGCTGAGGAACTGAGTAAGATTGGGATGGAGACACTCAAAAGGCTCGGAGGGGTTTTGTGTATGTGTCTCACCATTCCTTATGTAATGCACAGCAGTACAGGAGAAATCTATCAGAGCTAAAAGCAGATGTTGAAAAACTAAACACAAATGCTGGAAATGCAGGTAGGCTTCTGATTATTTAAATAAGAACAAATTAAGGAAGAATAAAGAAGAAAGACATTTGTCTGGAGTGCAGCAATGCCTGGAGACCTCTGCCATGATCAGAGCAACATTGTGCTGAGCATGCTGTGAAGAATTAGCAAAGATTACACCAGGAGGACCCACATATCAAATAAGTAAATCAGTCAAATACGATCATCTGCATTTTACAGCTGATGCTGAGAAACAGATGAAGATGAAGCAACTTTCTGAGAACTGATTCCAGATTTCTCCAGGGCTCTGTGCACACCTCCACCTTCGAAAGCAGTGCCATGTTGGGAGAAGAAAACGTTGGAGTGGGAGTCCACAGGGAGTAGGAGGTCACAAGCTGGGTGTCGTGTTGTGCTGCCGGTGGGATGGATCCTCGCTTCGCCAGCCCGCGGCCTGACGTGGGGATGGCAAAGCACGCTGCGGGGGTCTCTGTATCGACCGACTGCGTTCGACCCGCGGCAGTGCTCCCGCAGCGGCAGGGTGACGCCTGGGGTTTAGGATTTGCCAGTTTTAATCTTTGAAATGACAGCAACTGGGAGGCGATGCATCTATACGATACATCTGTGGGAACCCAAATTGTAAATGTCCACTTGTAAATGTCCTTTGACTCCAAAAAAAGACAGGCTTTGCTGCTTGAGAATTGCTCTAAATTTACATTGAAAGTCCCTTCTTTCTGATGAGGTCACCACCACTCACATACACTGCTAGGGACTAGCTATTGCCACAGGAGCTGGAAGTGTTGTAGACCACCTCCAGTAGACCAAAGGTACAGAATAACGTGACAGATTCATTCAAAGTCTTCCCTCAATTTTGTATCACATGGCTATTTCCCTTTTTCGCCTCAGGACACGCTGAAGGTCTTTCCTCAAAACCATCACCAGGCCAAGAAGGCAAAGCTGGATGCTTTGCTCACCTTCCTGGCTTCATCCGCGGGATCCATATGTCATTCCTGGGATTAAATCCTGGCACCATTTGGAGTCAATGAGAATTTTGCCAATGATTTTTAAGACAATGAGGATTTCATCCTTTGTTCATCCTGTGCTGGAAACTGCTCTTTGTTCTAGTGCAGTCAAGAGGATTTTTGCCAATGATTTGAATGAGCATTGGATAAAGCTTATGGCTAAATCCAGTCCTTACAAAAAAATCCACGGATCCTACTGAATTGCTTTTCTCACAGTGAAATTAATGGGAGCTGTTTGAGAACATCTAAGGGAAGATTTAGTTCCTGTTTGTAACAATATGTTACCCCCTGATACTGGGCCTGCTTTGAAATGTTTATTGTTAATTCCATGTATTTTTGGTTGTATCTCATTAAGAACATAATACAGTCTTGGAAAGTGCATTCTGAAAGGGTATTACAACAGGATTGGGATTACTGTTTGTGAGACACTTCTAACTAGGGGGAAATTTCAAATTCAATTTACAGTAATGTCAAAGCACAATTAATATATAGGCAATGATAAGGGGAACATGCAGAAGTACACATTGATAGCACTACATCAACAAATAAACTTTTGGTGCTAGTAATTAGGTACACAAGATTATTATATGTTTAATTGACTAAAGTGACAATTTGGAATTACATCTAGTCACATTTAATTGGATTTGGAATCTCTAGAGGAAAGGAAATGGAGAGCAGTGTGGAGAGGCAGCCATAAAAGCAAACTGATTTTCTAAAGTCTGCTAAGACTCTGCATTAATATCCATTTCACAATATTTTTTTAATATCCTTCAGTCTAGAAAAAGTAATGCAATGATTGTCACAGACAGTGGGAGTACTAAAGCATACTCAATTAGGTAGCAAGATAGCAGATTACTTTTAGTTTGGTTTTGGTTTTTTTTAAAGATATAGTTTAATCAAAGGTGAACTATGTCTGAGCTTGCCATAGACAAGTGATATTCTCAGACTGCCAAGCTACATGTTGACGCTGTCCTAGAAGAAGTGTACTTACATATAAGATCTCACCCACAAATACTTTAAAGCAAAAAAAAGAAAAAAACAGATTAAAATACTGTATAGCAGTCATTAAATATTTGCTCAGAGTAAAATATGGAAAAGCTATTAAAAGAAGACGTATGGTTGTTTGCTTGCAGATAGTTTAGCTAGCTAAAAGATGTTTACTAATGCTTGTCTTAAAGTTGCACAAAGACTGAGAGTTATGTCTAATCTTTTGTTACAAATCTCATGTTACACTTTTTTAACACTATCTCCTTTAAATATTGCTATATACATCCTTCTCTCCCTGTGCACTCTTTTTTTCTGCTTTTGTCATCAGGAGCGCCATGATTGCTGACTATATATACTGGCTGACAGGAGGCACTGAGCAGCATACAAGCAAGCTCATCAAACTGTATTGGCAGGTAAAAATTGACAGCCCAATGAGGAAGGAGGTGCCTATCTCACTATTAAGACCAAAATGAAGGATTACTGCTTAAAAGACTGCCGACAAAGGTAGCTCTTGGGCATATCAATCAACAGGACACTATATAGTGCTACTGTATTTATAATGAAGTAGATTTTCTTGGACTAATTTTAAGGGCAAAATTCAAGGTTGTTAACCCTTGGCTCATACTTCAATTTTATGGACTGCTATAAAATTTAATTCTGGATACTGTATAGTCCCCTAAGCTATTTTTTGTGAAGTCTTCCTGCCTTAGTGACACTTTCCTTTTGCAATTTGCATGATACTAGTCCTCTGACACCTTTCCAAACTCTTCAACCGGAAGAGGAGGAAAAAATCACTGTAACGAATGGTCTCAGAAGAACCTAAAGAGCTCTGTGAAGCATGGCTGGGTAAGACCCCAGTCTGCAAAGATTACTTATGTGGTGAGTAGACCATTGACTTCAGTGAGACTCATCTCTTGAGTGATACTTATTTGAGATGGCTGTTCAGCCACATCAGCGCAAATTTAAGGATACCTCCTTCTGCTCTGAGTAGAGCTCTCACACAAAACTGGAGGTGAATGGATGCTAGATTCTTTGCTGGGAGAGGCTTACTGCTGCAGGAGCTTATCTCTGCCAGTGGTGTCCCAGCCTTCACCCCCCTGGTTTCCAAAGTGCATTTCAAAGGGAGTGCAGTGTTTGGGCCTCAGGCAGTGGAAGACCCTTCTGCCTCCCAGAGTGGGCCTGGCCCTCAGGTCCTCCTTGTCCATGCAAGAAATTTAATTATGCTAGGAACAATATATGTCCCTTGCGATAAAATTTCAAAGTCTGATTCTGATCCCATTTATTTTGGTTTTATTCTGTGACAACATCTGTGACATCTGTACTTTATGTGAAGTGGTGCAAAACATGTGCGACATAAGCCAGAGTAATAAAGATCAGAATCCAGTCTTTTATCTTCACTCACACGGTAGATTCTTACTTTTAAAAACTATTATTAGTTGCATTCTTATTGGTAAAATGGAATAAATCTCAGTCCTGGGAGCTGCTGAATTTCAGTACTGCTGTGAGTGCAAAGTGCATCTCATTCAGAGAATTACCCACTGGGTTAGTGTTTGCAGTGCCTGTGAACTTTCTTATATGCTTTTCAGCAGAGAATTTCTTCTGTACAGAAGAGTTTGATTTTTTTCCCCCAGTGGGTCAGACTCGTTTAAAATCTTGAGTTCACAAACAGGTTTTATGAAGGGGTCATTTCTTCGAATGGAATGTCTTTTTTTGCCTCTTAACACTGGTATCCTTTGACTTCCCTTCTTGATGTCATGGACATGAAGCTTCAAAGAATAAGCCTTTAAAGGAGGAGCTGTCATAGCCGTCCTCTCCCCCAGGGGTTCTGACTGTCTTGCTATGTAATGGGGCTGAAAAAGTGGCACGAAGGACAAGATTCATCACAGTGCCTCCTTGTAGAGTCTAAACCAGAAGCCGTGGATGGGCTAAGGTGAGAATGAACTGGAGCAGAAATGGGGCTACTGAATCACTTCCAGCCATTACCATCATCTTCTAGATAGTAAGGGCTAGAGAATTTTGACAGTGGTAGGTCTCGTTCATCTCTGCATCACTCCAGAGCTCACAGCTCATTTCTGTTCCTGATGGAGAGTTCACACATGGGCCCCCACAGTACCAAGAGGCACCACCATGCTGTTTGTCTTCCATTCCCACTCCTCCTCTGCCTTTCTCCTGAACCTGACTTGATGTCATCTTTGTCTGCAGAAGCTCTGAAATGTCAGTAGAGATCTAACCATTTGTTTGATCCCCCACCATGCTTGATTTTCACTGGGAGACAGAGACTGCTCTGCAATTTTGTGTCTTTTGTGCATATGCCTTAGCGTGGGCTAGGCTAAGGATTCAGCGGTATCTATATGCTGACACACACGCAGTAGAGGCAGCTGGGTGCCCGGTGCTGCTCCCACTCAAGTTAATAGCTATCACTTAAGAAACACTCTTCATGAAGATATATCCCTAGCACCAGTAACAACCTTTTCCTTCCCGAGCTGATGAGTTCTGTGCACTCAGCATCAAGGGTGACTTCAATGTCATTAGAGCACACAGCAGCAATTATGCAAGATGAAGTAGCATGTGACACTGCACTGGGACTTTCCACCACAGAGAGACCAAGCAGAGGTACCATAATCTTTTTTTATTAATATTCTCTCTATTTCACGGTGTAAAGCTGAAAATAACTTGTCACGACTATACATGCTCATGTGCCTTTGTAACCAAAGCAACAGCTATTGATGCACGCTTTTCTTGCTAACTACTCCTCTGCCCCTGAACTTGCTCACGTTGGCTCACAACCGTGAGCAAAATTTTCAGAGGGGGAAGAGAATAGGTGGTGAACTGGATGGTTTGGTTTTTACTTCTGTGAAGGGAGATTTTTAGATTAGATACGTCACTCTCTGCTTTGATCAGTGGGTCATGATATAATCTTCTGGTGTGTCACTGACTACTTTTGTTTCTTCTTTTCATGATTCTTTTAACTGCTGGAAGAGGCTTTTCCTCCTCACAGCCTCTCTTCTGCTTCTTTCATGGCTTAAAAACATCGTACAGACCACTCAAATCCTTCAGCTGGTGTCAGCTGCAAAAAATTCAAGCCCTTAATTCACATCTGCAAAGATCTTTATTATTTATCCTACTTCTAAATCACTGTTTTCCTCTCCTGATCTATTCCTCATGCTCAGAGCAGTCTTTATCTTGTATCTCCTTTGGTTTCCTTCTGATTTTGGTTTTATACTTTCCTTTGAACTTCTGTCCCTCACATCAACTGCCAGGAGCCCTCTTTCTTCAAAATTCTTCTTAAAACATTCTCAAATCACATCCCTCCTCATTATTAACTTTTACATATTCTTCTTCAGCAGTAATCTGTTCCATGTGATGGTGTGCCTCCTCTTAGGCACACTGCAAGGTTTGTACTGTCAGATTTTTAAGGCCAGATGGGCTCATATTGATTAATTATCTGACTTCCTGCATAAAAACACCACAGAATTGCACCCTTACTTTCCTGCATTGATGCCAAAAGAGGAAAGCAAAGACTGATTTTGAGAAAGTTACCCCATCTCCATTTAAACAGTTTAATAATAGAATATTTACCATAAGTCATCTAATAGGTGATTTGTGGCATGATTGTCCCCCGTTTGTTCTCTAGCTTACAAACTGGGATTTTACTCATCCAGTCCAAACTTCCAGCAATTTATATTATGCATTATATTATTATCTGAAAGCTTAAAGATCTTTTAGTACTACTTATCATCTCCCTGTATATGTACCTATGGATCATGATCAAGGCAACTTTAAATATTCTTTTTGATTAGCTTTTTGATTAGCTTTCTTTGATTATCCCCTTTAAAGTAAATCATCTATTTCTGGATCTTCTATACAGTGATATGTAATACCTAATGCCCTGTGTTGGTTTTGAATATTAATACCTGCCTTCCATTCCACTCTGAGATAAAGGTATAATGCTGATGAGAGGTGAAAAAGTAATTTGCAATGGATAATATTATTCGGTAAGTTGAGCTGTTTTCTCTGTTCAAATATTTTATTCCATGGATTGAAAATACACATTCCAAGTTAACATATAATCAAATGGATGGGCTTTTTTTCTTAACCTACTACAGAATATGCACCGGATGATTTGTGTATTGACTGTTAGACTAAAAATAAGCAAGTTAAATAGAGTTCATAACAATAAATAATAATGTGAAAGTTATTAAATGTATTATGGTAGATATCTTCAGAATGGTAGCAGCAAGACAAAGTTTAAACTTACTATAGTCAGGTAAGCAACCTAACATTTATTGTCAGCAATTCAATTTCTCAGCTGGTAATAGCAAAATAAACAATAGACTTGAGATATTCCATCCCATAGAAAGAGTCCCTCTCCAAACTGTCCAGTTTTATTCACACCTTTGTAAATATTTCCACTGGCTAAAAACTGTGCAATACAACCTAGATGTTTCATTCCACAAATAAAAACACCCATACTACAATGTCAAAAATGCCTAACGTTGTCGAACGTGAACTTTGCAAATATCTTGATAGTCACAGCCTGATTTCACCAGTATCTGGAACAGATATCTTAGTATAAAGTGCCTTTGTTGCCTAATTTATAAACATCTCAGGCTTAACTCATTAGCACACTACAAATTTAATGGCTTTTATTATTCCATTGTGAAAACCATGTGGCCTAGTTTATGCTAAAGGTTTGGCTCGAGCCTCTGTTATGCACTTATATCCAAAGTCCATCCCATCTAGACAAAGTCTTAACACTACCTGCCATTGCACCAGCAACGCATATGACATATGTTGCAGAAACTAACAGAACCTCAGGAAGGCATTTCAAAGCTTGTAGGTTCATATTTCTATGCTTCCATAACCGTCTGTACCAAAAGCCTTACTGACACGTAGCCAATGTGTATTTGCTACAGCTCAAATGGAGACCTTTAATTTGCATTGGAGTAAACTGGGCTTTTAGCTTTAGTTGCAGTTCAACCCCAGTGTTTTGGACAAGATTGCAGCCATCACAGACCTGCTCTTAGCACACTGAAAATACTGGCTCTATGACTGCCGCACACGGAGCTCACAAACTTGTGTTTCTGAGAATATTTCTCTCAGCTAAACTCAGCATCACAGAGAAAGCTTCCAGTAGCACATGCATTGGCTGACATGGAGGTTTGGGTATTCAGACATTTGTTTTGCTCTCTTGTTGCTGTTATGAACATCAGGTGCTTCCATTTCAAAAATCTGGGCTGTTGCAAGCACCGAGCAATACACACATCACACAATAAAGCAAATGATAACCCAGCCCAGCGAGGTGGCTGAACACCTACGGTGCAGCGATGAACGCTGTCAACTCCTTTAGAGCTCAGCTTTATCTCACACCTTGTGAGGTGACGATCGAAGGCAAGAAAGTTAAAAGGAAAAA